AGACCCGTTCTATTTCTTCTTCTATGCATGCATTGCCAAACAAATTGTTGTCGTTCAAATAAAGTTTAAATTGGAAGGCAGCGTGGGAAGTGGCACAACATGTGCTCAACATTCAAACCCCCGCCTCCCCCTTTACCCAGCAGGTCTAATGTCCTCTGATGGGGCCACACGCACACAGCAGCGCCGCTACTGTTCCTATATATGAAGAATTATATTGACTATCATAACGTGTCACATAAAATATTCCACAATAAATTGACTTTCGCTGTCAGCGGAAGGCAGCGCAGCTGTCCCCAACTTGGCTGCCAATGTGGGTTATGTGCGCTGGTCGGATGGGGCTGGGGGAATGTGGGGCGTGCGATTTAGATACTCTGGCAAGTGTCGCACATAATAGGCGCCGCTACTCGAATGCATTGGCCCTTATCGCAACTATTAACAGGCAAACAAGCAGCCTATCGAACAAAATCGCATTAAAAATCAATAAAGTGTACAATTAAATTATCTCTTTTGAGTAGAAAAGATTTTTCGATGGCGTTGTCTAAGCTCAAGGACTGCAGGACATGCTTAACTGGAACAGACTCTGGCAGCCTTTACATATTTTACCCATGTGCTACGTACAGTAGACACTCGTTAGCTTGGTCTACATTTTGTAAGATATTCTAGTATTATTTGATTTATTTTTCTTTAGGCTGTCTCTCGTAATGTGCTCTAATCGATTTATATATATAGATTTAGAGAAAATTATTTAAGCTACTGATAAATATATCAAAAGATAGTTTCGTAGAGCAGCATTTGCAGTTAGCTCACCTTAAGCGCCTCCTCGTGATTGATTGAGGTGAATGGCGTGCCGTTCACCTCTAGGATTGTATCACCGGGTCGCAGGCCGGCGCGTTCCGCCACCGAATTCTCCTCGATGCGTGAGATGTAAACACCTAAGCCTGTCGATAAAAGAGAGAGAGAGAGAGCGAGAAAGAGAGAAAACATGAAAGAAAAGAAATCAATTAGCAAGCGCTGCGCATTAAACTTTTATTAAAAGACACAACACGGGCACACGCCCCTACGCCGCCCACTGCTGGGCCCAATTTCTATACCCTGTAGCCATTAAAAATTGGTAAAGCTACAATATAAGGGCTGCAATGGTGCGTATGTGTGTTAAATGTTATAGGAAATTATATAAGAAAGCATATAAAATTTATCTATTATCGATTGACTTGAGTTAATTAAACTCGATGTAAAGGTATGCCAGGTAAAGGGAATGCCTATCGAAAAGAATCGATGTGTAAAAAAA